TAGACCGCTCCAAAATATGGGGAGAAGTCTTGTGTTATTGGTTGCTTGTATTTATTTGTATTTACTTTCGGCCATTTTTAATGATAATGTCAGAGAGGTATCGTAAGGTGACATCGAAAGCGTTGAAATAGAGAATTATAGTTCTGATTCTAAAGTGCAGTACCGAATTGCTAAATTCATCTATAATATAAAAAGGATAAATAAAGCAGAATAAGAAATTATTGATCATAACTCTAAGAATGTAGATTTTTCGGTTTTAATACATAATAAGTTGTTCTGAAACAAAACTCAATATCGGGAAAAAAAACCCTGATATTTTAAAAGGGTTCAGAATCGGCTTTGAATATACCTATACGAATGTATGTGAGAAACAAGAATGATCGGTTCTCACATTCCCAAATACTCACACACAGTTACCCACAATTTACGAAGTCATTTTCACATTACTTCGTAAATGAGATGAAAAAAAGAGATTCACCTGACGTTCCCAGGCGAGGCAATTACCAGCGATTCCCACCATTAACCTACCAGGAGGATGAGCTTCTTCCCTCACAGACCCGTTTTAATTAACCTTCAAGAAACAAGGTAGCGATGACGAAGGGGTTGAAGCGGTGATCTGGAAAGATCGGCCTTGTGACTGGATTTCCGATTTGCAGTGAAACGAAATGGGCACAGATTTTGAACCGTGATTTCACAAGAACAGCTTTGCTTTTTTTCATTGTTACCTTTTACCATAAATGATCTGCGAATGTTAAGCAAGACGAAACTTACAGTTTTGATTGTTTCACATCTAATATGTTTATCGGAATACCTATCTATCTATTTTGAAACATCTACAGTTTCTGTAATGTAGCAACTAGCTTTTTTTTTTGTTGTTGTTCTCGAATAATGATGCCAGAATTGTCTTTCTTATTGAAGTTATTAATGCCATCGAATTTGTTAGCAGTAATAATTTCAAATAATAAAAAGTAGTGTGTATTTTTAGAGTTGAAAATCATTAATTTCAAACACTAAAAATACTACCCACAAACTATCACTATTTTTACTATCACAAACAAATCAAAATTGCTTAAATTCCGTTTGTAGTATGCGAAACAACTTTCAAAATGTACCAACATTAGTAAAATCTATATTTAAATGATACCTCGGTATTCGTCCGCTTTGAAATAAGTCCAACTATGAGTCTTGATATCTTGTAATAAGTCCACTTGATATATATCCTGTTTGAACACAGAGTATTTTGTTAGGTACACGATTTTTTGTTTGGTTTGTCGCTCTACGATCATTTTGTGCATACTTTAGACTAATTATACCGTGACCTACAGCTTAAAGTGGATTCCGAAGCATTCACAAACATCCCTGCCACCGCCCACCGCCAGGATTCGAACCTGAAGCCTGTGGTACCAAAGGCCAGAGCACTAGCCAATTGGCTACGTGTGCCAAAATTTTTGTCAAGTGGATGGATGTCAAAAATTTTGCAGAGAAATACCAACAAATCTCAAACAAGCCATGAAGAATTGTCTCAAATGGCCAGACAATAACACATTTCCAAAACATTCTAAAAAGCAAACGGAAGCAAAATTCTTTGAGGCACATCTTTTAATAAATACCAAATAGACAGAAAAAAACAAAATTAACTTTGGTAAATTTTCATTCCTGTATTTTATTATTAAGCAGTGTTTAAATTATTTTATACAAACCCATGAATAAATACATAATATATAAAAAAACAATAGAATTTTTTTCATGAGGACAAGTCCTCATGATTTGATAAATGTCCCGTTTGGTGCAAGTCCAAAAATCGTATACAGAAGATTAAGGACGTATACTGATAATGCAACTTTCCGTAAATCCGTAAAATCCTACAAAAGTGCATACACTTCACAAAGGATGTATAAATGGAAGAGAAAACCACAATGAAAGTGGCTCGAATAATTTGTTCCACTATTCCTGTTCGAATCGAACTAATCAAATCCCATTCACTCACAATGCCCGCATTGTTCCTCCGCCGCGCATGCAAACCAACGGCCAATTAAGACGAGCCAAGTGGCCCTTGTTCATGCTCATCCAAACTTCCCTCCCGATTGTTATCCTGGAACGATGACTGGCAATTAGGACACGCTCCGGCCTCAAGCTCTGTTTGGCAAGCCTTTTTATCTATGCAAACTTCTCTGCGCCAATTCATCTTCTCGTTTTATGTATCTCGCGCATCCTGGACGGGCAATCGTCCAATGCGATATGTGTCTACTCTCTTTGCATATGTGTTTTTGTGGCTTTTGAATGTATTGAGGACAGACGACAGGCGTTTCCGAGTGAAGAAGACTTTTGGATCTGGATGGAATGACAATATACTTGGAATGCGTTCCGCCTCTTGCACGATTGTATGAAATGTAAACATTCGAACATGAGAAAATATAGGGTATTGAGACTTATTGGAGTATCATTAAAAAAAGAAGAAAAAGGAATAAAATGTCCTAACTAAGTGCCCTATCCTTAATTAGCTTAAATATACAAGCTGAAATATACCCTAACTAGCATTCCCTATGCCCTATCTGCTAACTAGCTTCAAAAAAATTAATAAATTACAATGTAAGATAGCTCAGTAATTCATAGAATGTCTAAGCGATACATAATTTCATATTATATATTAAGGAGCATCTGAGAAGTTTAGAATCCAGTTGGAATTCATTTTTTAAAAATTTCATTGGATATTTTCATTTGGGATTGTTAGAAAGACTGGGTCTATTAGATCCTTTGTACCACAAAATTGCATGAATAGAAGCACCGAAATATTAGCTATATAAACTGATTTATATCACTAATCAAATTTTTCATATGTTGTTGTGACTAATCCTCAGTGTTAGGCAGTATGGGACGGACACCCCATGAGTACGTGAGTAATCTACTCATGGATGGAGGGGAAGGGTTGCCCTCTGTTTTGATGGAGCACCCGTAGGTAGAATCTGATTTGGCTCCGTGTAGCTGAAGAAGAGCGCTGCCTTCCGGAATGACTTGTAGAGGGAACTACGCTGCATTTGCGTGTCATATGGGTGAAAAACATGAAGACCCCCGCGATACGAATTGCTGAACATCATAGACGGCATCAAGTCTCCTAGTTTTTGAAACAGTGTCTACAACAATGCCGCCAGCGGATTGAACCTCAGTCGTAATCATCACCAGCGACGCACGTTACCACTGAGCTACGAGTCGGCTATATATATTTGTTAGTTCATCATCCGGTAGTTCTAGTAGTTCTCCACTTAATGTATGCTACGAAACAGCTCATCTACAGGTGATGAGGGCAAGACATTACCGCTCAAGAAGATTTTCAGGAGTACTTACCCTCCCTTTCACATACATTTGCGAGTCGCATGGTAGAAAACTCGGAAAACTACCATCGGCAACTTAAATACCGATACGGGGCGCCTTTACACGTGTTGTCACAATCGTCACTGAGACTCTTTGTCTGCAAATAAGACAGCCACAGAATTCTAACCTGAGTTCTCCAGCAGGCTAGCTACTCAATGTGCCAAGGGCCTTACACTGAATTCCGGTTGAACAAACTAAAGCCATCTACTTAGTCATACTTTCGACAGCAAACCAAAAGATCTGACAAGGAAATTTATTGACTTTTGTAGTTATATTGTTAAGTTACATTTTATTACAATCTCTTCTGAGGATTTTGCTAAGGATTTACTAATGTGTGCAATAAACTTCAAATTCCTTGTATTTCATGCGATATTTTATAATTGATATTATACTAATAACGGATGGTCCGTTTCAGTAAGTTAACATTGAAATCATTTGCATCATTAAATTTTATCGAGAAAAAAAAATCAATTGAACACTTCAAAATTAAAATTAAGAAAAATCCAAACAAAATCTTTTTTTATATCTTTATGCAATTAAGGCACAGTTAATTTTTTTTTTAAAAAAACTTGACTTTAACTTGATTTTTACACAAAGCAAAACAAATTCAACAAAAAGAGATGCATCCAAACTATAAACGATAAAATACCAAACCGGAAAAATAAATATGAACATAATTAAAGCATACATAAACAAAACAAAAAACCCGTTTACTACATTTTTGCGTTTTTTAACTCAATAACCATTAAAGCGAGTTCAAAAAATAAACAGCAAAACGTTAACTTCCAATTACGTTAAGCACATTTCACGCGGATGTAGAAAAAAAAA